GGGCTTTTGAAGCATGAGTTTACCAGGCAAAGTCAAATATGAACTTTATATAAATACAAAAAACATGCTAATGCAACTTTTACATGTGCCTTTAAATGTATAACAAATAATGAGAACACAGTGAGGTCTAAGGTCTCACTGTCAAGGAAATTACAAAATGATTTCTGGAAAGAAGCCAGAGTTATGAATAACTACATGAGATTTAAAGCTGGCTGGTGAAAAACCAGTCTATGAGTTCTTAGTCCACTCATTTTTGTTGTACTAGTGGCAGTAATGAAAGATAAAGCTGGCAAACTAAAGTGTTTGGGAGAATTGTAAGTCTATGCCCTCAGCCAGCATTTGATCCAAAATGCTCTATAGAGAACCCTACGCAGGAGGCTGGAATATCACATCTTTACCATTCACAGGCAGTTTAGCTTTAAACAAAAACACTGTTGTGTATCTTTTGCCTTAAAGGAAATTAAAGGAAATTAGATAAACACAATGGGCGAATTCCACAATTCTAAATATTTTAATTGATGCCTATAAAACTTTGGATCATGTCAATCATGAAAAATTATTTTACACTTTGTACCGATGAGGGGTTCCTATATTTCTATTGAGAAGTTAAATTTTCTCATATGCACATCGGACGATGTGGGTAAAATGGGGTAATTCTGCATCTGCTCATTTTCACGTCAATAATAGGGTTCAACAAGGTGGTATCTCTTTTTCTTTTAAACACTTAAGGATGGTGGCACAGCGGTTAGCACTGCTGCACTCACAGCAAGAAGGTTCTCGGTCAACACAGGGCCTTTCTGTGCAGAGACTGCATGTTCTCCCTTTGCCTGCATGGCTTCTCTCCGGGTACTCTGGCTTCCTCCCACAGTCCAAAGACATGCAGCTTAGGTTGACTGGTGAATCAAAATTGTCCCTAAGAGTGAGTGTGGGTGTGTGTGGTTGTTTTTTTCTAAGTATCAGTCCTGTAATAGACTGGTGACCTGTCCAGGGTGTACCCCGCCTGTTGCCCAGTGTGTCAGCTGGGATTGGCTCTAGTCCCTTGCAACCCTCGTCAGGATATGCAGTATAGATAATGGATGGATAGATGGATGAATTTGTTAGTGCAGTTAAATGTATATGCATAGTGTTTATTCCCTCGTCAATCACTATAAGTATGCTGATGACAGGCGCAGAGTGTGGCATTCACAAATGTGAGTGCCAATTGCAACAGCCTTTATAAAAGGCTGCTGGCAATATGAAAATATATAAAAATATAATATTTTGTTATAAGTAAAAGTCCTGCATTCACAATTTTAGTTCAGTAAAAGTACAAAAGTATTAGCAAAATATACTTGAAATAACAAAAGTACAAGTAGTCATTATGAGGAATGGCACATTAAGGTATATTCAATTTATCACTTTGGTTTTGGAGCTAAGGAGCTAGCTGCTGGGGATTAATAAAGTATTTTTTAAACAAATTAATCTGATTCTGAAAAGTAACCAAAGTTATCAAATAAATGTAGTGATGGAAAAGGTACAGTATTTGCCTTTGAAATGTAATGAAGTTGAAGTATGATGTAGCAGAAAGTGAAAATACTCAAGTTAATACAAATATCTTAAAGCTGTACTTAAGTGCAAGTTGTGTACATGTACTGAGTTATGTTCCACCACTGGCAAATGTTAGCAACGAAAAAAGTTCATAATCAAGTTTGGATAGGTTTGAACATATGAAACCCTTGGGGGTTTACCTTATGGGTAAAAAATTATAATTAAGTGGAAACTGAGTTAGAAACTGAACACTAGCTGCAGAATTTCAATTATAACTCCTTGCTTTCCTTCCTTTCCCCTTTAGTATAAGGTTGTGCACTTGTGCACTACTGGAAATGATATATTAAGCACTCTGTGACCTCTTTAGGGCCAGAGGGAAATGCAACAACAGTGTGAAAAGTTGCTTCCTCCTACACGTCTCTAGTATAGTATAGTCTTCTCTGATATGCAGCAGCCTGTATTGACAGGGTTTCAAAATAGAAATGAATAAACTTGCAAATTGATGCACAGATTGAACATAAACATATTGTGAAGAAGGGTCATATAGGAAGATGGGCAGCAAGTGTAACTGTTATGAATAGTTTCTGCTGAAGTCCAACAGTAAGAAAATGCACTATACTGTAAAAACCTCTTTCCAAAGAAGAAGACTTTATTGAACTGATTGATGAATTCATTTAAACAATTAAACCAACTGACCGTTAGGATTGGAACTTTAGGATAATTTACTTAGAACCATCTGGGACAGCTCAATAATGGTCTGTATATTTCACTTTTGTTTTTCAATTTCATGCCCAAGTAATCAACTCATGTTACAGGGTATATTGCACCACCAAAATTTATTGGAACATTATAACTAATAACTGCTATTTAATTTTTCCAGTCCCTCCTCTTCCTCCACACTCAGTGTTGTTAAGCTCACATTCATGTCCACTGTATGAGCTGGGGCCACTCTGAAGACCGTGTTGCTGTGAAACAAAAACTGCTTTTAGAAAGATAGATATGTAATTGCAATAGTCAAAGCTGGCTTGTTTACTGTTCAGAAACTCTGACTGTATTTGAAAGATGATACATGACATTTTTTAAAGTTAAGCTTATCTAAAGCTACTGTAAGATAAGTGGCTACTACAGAGGTTTTCAAACTGTTGGACATTTTTTTCCATGGAGTTGAGGGCAGGGGTGTTGCTAGACATAAAGCTGTACTACGGCACAGGCCCCCCATTATTCAAATCACACATTTTTTTGAATGTCTGCTGCATGAATGAAATGTGCTATCCATTGTGTTATGTGAACTTCCCTTGCTTAGCTCACTATTCCACTGCTGTACTGTTGCACAGGGAGAACATGCAAACTCCGCACAGAAAGGTCACAAACCCAGAACCTTCTTGCAGTGAAGCAACGCCCATTAATCTATCAACAAATCATTAATTTAAAAAAACACATGTGCACACACACATATAGACACAGTCACATAATTTTTTTTTTTGTAACTCACAAGGCCACATAACATATCGATGCTCCAGCTACTTCAAAACTGTCTTGCAGTGGATGGCTGGGGGTCACACACCTGTCTCCACAGGCACAGGCAGCTTCTTCCATACTTTCTCTTCTTGCCTCAGGTTCACCTGTTTGGTAAAGCTGTAACTTGAGAATTGAGTGAATTTGGGTAAAGAAAAAATGTGAAAGGGGTCTAATGACACCTTTGGTCGAGGGACAGTTGAAGGGGAAGCATGGAGGGAGGATACATTGTCAGGTGAAAAGTACAGATTCAAGTGAGCGCTCTAAAAGCAACAAGAAGGAAGTTAGTTGTCACAGTACCAACATTGCTCCTGTCTCCATATAAAGAACCCACAGTACAACAAAAAGGTGAGTGTGTTCTACCAGAGCAAAGCAGAAGATATCAAAAGACATTGGAAAAGTTAGTTAGTTAGCATTTTCTCCAGGACAGCCAGAGATGATTATTTTCTATATGGTGTGGTGCAAACAATATGAAATCAATTGAATCAAGTGTATTGTTAATTAAAAGATGCCTTTTATGTTTAATATTTGTTAAACTATTGTTAAAACCTCCTACACCAGACAAGTGTGTAAGGCATGAGTTTATGTTGACCTTTTAGGTGCGAGGCGCCGGAGGCTGTCCTGTGCCTTGCAATCTGAGTGTGACAGAGGGGATGCAAGGCCTGGTGTTCAGGGTGCAAGGATGATATGTCTGCATATTTTGATTATTTCTACTTTGAAGGCAAGGATCTTTCTTGTCTTATTTTGCTCTTTGCTCTGGAGACCTTTTACTTTCTATATGCACTTTGCAAGAGTAATAATTAAATCACCATAAAAGACAGATGTTGTTCTTGATTTTATTATTTAATAGCAGTAGTTAGTCTAGAGTCAGTTGGCCTTTTATTTGGTACACCAGGCTAAAACTAATAGTTTAATACAACAGTATTGCAATAAGCTATTCTTTATAAAGGTGATTATGTTTTTATGGAGGTTTTGATTAATCTGTATGATCATTTTGGAAAATGTACAGTAGTACTCTAGTACTACAGTAGGAAGAATTTATTGCAGGGTTGTTGGATTATGCTGCATAAATTTTAGCTAGGTACTAATAAACTGCTGAGAATATTTTAATGAATATTTTAGGCTTAATAGAAATTAGGCACTCATGAGCTTGGGTTTCTTTTCATTTATGTGTCCCTAGGATCTCCACAATGCATTTAAAGGGCTTGATATCACACCATCTTTCAGCTTGCAGAAAACATCTAATTATCTAACAACGTATAGCACTATAGCAGTTAAAGGAAGAATTTGATGTAGATATAAAAATGTAAGTGCTAACTTACAGTACATAACTATTAAATAGGAGTGTATCTAACTCTGTTGTGATAGAATGTAAACCTAAAAATCAATTGTAAAAGTGTTGCAACACCACAAGACCATGTTATTTCTCTGACAGTTTTTTTTAACCTTCTTTGTCACCTCAGGACTTCCATAGAAGTGGCACCACACAAGGTTTTGCAGCTTTAATATGTCCAATATGAGAAATACATATTTTGATTGAAGGGGAATTTAACTGGTATTGGTAAATCAATCTACTTTCATTGGGACAGTTTCATTTTCAACCATTATTAGCCCATAAGTTAGAATCTGGCTCCTTCTACAGTGTAGAGATCTATATTCTTGTTTTCGACTGTAATTGTATTGGTTGTGAACATGATAGCTCTGTTATATTTCATATGGCAGCAGTGTGATTTTGTTATGAGATTTGAAGAATATTCTGTTGGTTTTGTGACAAGATGTATTCCGTGTCTATTATGAAACCTAAAGGAGTCTGCTACCTTCCCCTGTTACAGGGGATTACATGAATCAGATATTTGGGAAAAAAGTACTGTATTTTCTGTCCAATACTCTTTTTTTGTTCCCCTTTTACTCTCATATTTTCTTTTTCTCTTCCATTCCCTTTCTCTTTGTGTTTCCAGAGCCAGTATTGTCCAGAAGAGAATCATCTATTTCCAGGATGAAGGTTCTCTCACCATTCGGCTCTGCGAGCAAGGTAATGCCAGCTGCCCATCATCTCTCCTCCTCCTCCTCCTCCTCCTTTTTGGCTGTGAATATTTTCATCCTTGACCAGTCATTATGGTGCCATTATCCATTGTTCTATCTGTTGTTTTTTCCCTTTTGGAGCAGAACAGCAGATTCCTTTCTATCATGTTTAAAAAAGACACAAAGCCAGCAAAGGCAGCAGGAAACTGAATACAAAGGTTTATGGAGCTCATGGGAGTCTGCATGGAATTTAAATATATAATAGTCTTTCACCACGAAGGAGAGTCACAGCTTTTATATTAACTGTGACTTCACTGTTGAGAAAAATGTCACACTAGTTTTGGAAAGCTGTTGGCTCCTGAATAAACATTAAACTCATGTCAGACAGTGAGGCGCCAGGACTTAGCTCTGATGCACACGTTTATTGTACAATAAAAACCATACACAGACAAATGGCTTTTCAAGCTTTATCTCAGGAGATTTTTACTTTAATAAAATCTTCCTCTCTTCACCACAATCTGATTTTCCAGCCAGTCAAGCCACCCTGTTTAAATTTGCTGACATAAGTTAGGCACCCTCAATGTTTGACTCATCCTGCTATACCTTAGATGTCAAGTGAGGATTTCATCTGAATAATTTGGTGTCTCATAAATATTCAAGTGTACTCCCTTTGACCTATCTGTGCAAAACATTGGTCCAGGGCACTATCTGAATAGTGTTGTCTGAATAATTTGGTGTCTCATAAATATTCAAGTGTACTCCCTTTGACCTATCTGTGCAAAACATTGGTCCAGGGCACTATCTGAATAGTGTGCGTCAAGGCTAATTATCATTTAAATACGAGTTTTTACCAGGATGTAATTTTGTGACACTCAGTGGTTCCAAATTGTATTCATCCCTTTGGTAATATATGCAGGTGTATATTTGTGTCAAAGCTCACACACCTACCTATCTGTGTCATCTATAATTTATTGAGTTTGTGTATGTTTTCTGTTCTTAAATCTCTATGTATAGGTGTATGACTGTGTGTGTTGTCTCATTCATTGTCTCCCTGCAGAGCATGTGCTCGGTGAAGCCACAGGAGCTCCTGCCATAGAGTGCTGCGCCTGTGGAACAGCTAAATACAGACTCACCTTCTATGGCAACTGGTCAGAGAAAGTGCACCCCAAAGACTATCCAAGTGAGTTCAAACCACACAAGCACTAATGCATGCCTGTACACTGTGCCCATTCACCATTTAAGTGAAGAACACAATGTAGATCCAAATGCCAACTCATAAATACAAAAGAATTCAGCCTGATAAAAATTGTATTTAAAAAGGGTTGGTCAGAAAATATTTTACAGAAAAATGGCACGAAAGCAGTAGCAAGCATCGATAAGATTAATGCAGCTGCACAAGGTATACTAAGTCAGTGGTCAACAACTGGCAGCCACCAGTGAGGGCGGGGGTTAAGTATTGGCTTTGCTAACACCTTGGCAATTCAAGTCTTTGTAAAGTAAGCTTTGAACTAAGAATATTCTTTGTAGGATAAGTTATTTTAGAAATGCAGACGTTGGTGTTATATTTGTTCAGAAAAAGATGTTTAGACTTTCTCTTAAAAACACATGCACCTTATGTATGCATTGCTAAAAATGAGAATCTTGTAGAGGACTGGAGATAGATATTTTATTGAGACCTCTCATTTTATAATTTTAAATGTGTCCACATAACTGAGGATTTTTTGTTGTTGTTGTTGAAAACACTGAAAAACTATTGATGTGTAACAGCCTGGACCTCTACTCGGGAGGATGTTGAATGACCGGATGCCCTTCTATTTTAGTTCAATACAGCTATTCTACATGAACAAAGATATAAATAACTAGAGAAATGCATTTCCTGTTGAAAATGTGTGTACATGCTGATATGCTGAAGGATCACCCTGAAAAAGCCTGAAATCAATTACTGAAACAGCTGAAGGATGAGAAGAAATGGCTGAAGTTCTTTGTTGAATAAGCTAAAGGATGAGTGGCAATAAATACAAGCAGGAATATCCTTGAAGATCTGAACATGTTGATACCTGAGTGGCTTTTCCAGCTGAAAGCATGCTGAACTTATTAAGCTGTGAAATTTTTCCCACTGGTCCCCACAAAGTAAGTAAAACAAGTAGGTGTGTGTGTGTATGTGTGTGCGTCAGAGTAGTCCTACACACTGAGGACTACTAGAGTGTGGCAATTGAAATGAAACATATAATGTAAATGGCAATTATGCAAAAAAATGTAAAAGATATCAAAAAGCAGTTTACAGAAGAATAACTGAAGACTTGCAGAATAGTTAACAGCTGAAATGGTGTTTTTAGCTGAAGGTATTAAGATGTGAAAATTTTGCAAAATTTGCTAACAAAAAAAAA